GATTGATGATGAGAAACTTTCAAAGCATTCTATGACGGCTTTTTACGCAATACTTAAATATATGGGAGATATGCCAGCACCAAAACCAAGATCAGTCACGGAATACACTGACGATATATTTAAATCAGCGTTAACTGAACCTAGCTTGCGCGATGAAGTGTACTGCCAGATAATGAAGCAACTGACAAACAACCGAATACAACTTAGTGAAGAAAGGGGTTGGGAACTAATGTGGCTTGTCACTGGAGTCTTTGCTTGTGGACAAATGTTAATAAAAGAGTTAGTGGAATTTCTAAAGACACGTCCACATCCTATTGCAAAAGAATGCTTGAAACGCGTCTTTAGAACCCAAAAATACGGACCGAGGATGTATCCTCCATATATTGTAGAGGTGGAAGCTATTCAACATAGAAGTATGCAGATATATCATAAAGTGTACTTCCCAGATGACACGGATGAGGCTTTCGAAGTAGATTCATCTACAAAAGCGAGGGATCTATGCGAACAAATCACTGGTCGACTCAATTTGAAAAATAGCGATGGTTTTAGTTTGTTTGTAAAAATAGCCGATAAAGTTTTCTCAGTCCCAGAAAATTATTTCTTCTTCGATTTTGTACATGAGCTAGTGGAATGGATGAAGAGGTCGAGGCCAGTTCGTTCAGGTATTTACTTTGAGTGATATTTAATATTATACAAAAAAGAAACGTACCCTATGCACGTCCTTCTGCTAGTCTTCTCTCAAGGAAGCACAGTCATGCTGCCCCAATGTGCGTAGTAACTTAACATGTCCTCAAAATACATGAAAATTTTCAAACATGCAAGTTTCTTTACGATGTTATTCTTTACCACCGCGCACGTGGTGAATTAGCATATTAGAAAGATGAGATTAACAATGTCAGTAATGCCGGCGGGGATTGAACTTGGATTGCTCGCATGTTATGAAATTAAAGACGGTGTCCAGCACGTGAGCTCCAATATTATGTACTAGTGAACTGCTCCAGCTTCGCCTAGAAAGAATCTATTAATATAGCATTATTTGGGTTTAAGAAAGTCAAAAACCATTTATTTTATAAATTATTCATTTAAAAAAGTCCTTAAGTTTTTCGGTTAAAATATAGCCTAAATCCCTCCTGGCATCGCTATCGATCTGTATATAAAGTTTCATCACAATTGGTTCAACCATTCTGAAGATTAGCCCTGACAGAAGGACAGACAGATAGATTAAAAAAAATGATTGCTTATGTGTTAAATGCAAATAACCCCTGAGCTTAATAGAAGCCAGTAATTTTAACAAACACTTCAATTTTATTTATATGTATGTACAGAATACTCACATCACAATATAAAAGTGTCTGGAAAACATCACTTTAGTGATAAGACCGCCTTGTACCTAGTTTCTAAGTTTTCTCTGGTTTTTTTTTTTCATGTTTTGTGGTACTCAATGATGTACATACAACACACACATCTTACAAATTACAATGCTTTAAAGATTTCAAAGTAGATATTATCTATTTGTGTATTATTATTATTATATAATTTTTTAATAAAAATTATTTTCATTTGAAAAAAATATTAATATATGTTATTTTATTTCAGCTGGTTCCCAAGTGCAAATGAATTATCAGATATTCTTTATGAAAAAGTTGTGGATTAACACAGTTCCCGGGAAGGATAAAAACGCTGATCAAATATTTTATTTTCCTCAAGAGTTGCCAAAATATTTGCGCGGATATCATAAAACGTCGAAACATGATCTTATTGAATTGGCTGCGCTCATTTATCGAGCAAGATACGGCAATGATCAGACTCTTTTGCCACAAATAACCCAAATGCTAGAAGATTTTATACCGTCGGATATGACGAGGATCCAGTCTAACTCACAGTGGAAATCATCGATAACAGCGGCTTATTTAAAACACGGCAATATGACGGAAGATGAGGCCAAAGAGCAATTTCTAAAGAAAATTTACCAACTACCAACCTTTGGTACTGCTTTTTTTGAAGTTAAACAAACTTCTGACCCAACATACCCAGAAATGGTAGTTATAGGTATAAATAAGAATGGCCTCAGTATCATCCATCCTCAAAGTCGAGTATGTATTTAAAAATCATCCATCATCATTGCCACGGTTATATGATCCGTTGGGAATTGCTTATTACTGTGTATTAATTTAATATTTCTTTTACAGGATATTTTAGTGACGCACCCGTTCTCGCAACTTTCTAATTGGTCCTCTGGGAATACGTTTTTCCATATGACTATGGGTAACTTTATCCGCGGAACCAAAATTCTATGCGAAACTTCACTGGGATATAAAATGGATGATCTAATTTCGTCGTACATTGCAGTATTGCGGCAATCTGTCAACCATAAATCTAAAACATAGATATATACATAATCGTGATAATATTATTTATTCCTTAATGTATAAATATTAATATTAAATGTAAAAAAATAATAAAATTAGTATTTAATTTGGCCTCCCCCAAGGAATGCCACAAAGCACGGTCCCGAGCTATCACTTCCTGCAACTCTTACCAGGTGGCCCATCTAGTAGGGGACTGGAGAACCGTTCTACATTTTGCTTAACGGCACGAGCCTACCACTCGAGAACTTTTCTTCGCAATCGATTGTCGGTTCTTTCGTAGACCTTAGACCTACATCTATCTTTGATTAAGAATCAAAATGTAGATGCGTTGATGTAAAAACTTGAGGACTGCGATAGAATGCCTCGTTAGAGTTAGTGAGATCGTGGCCCTTCTTCAGTAGAGCCCGTGTATTCGTCCTGCAACCATATAAATGCAGTGTAGCTCTACCACGTTAATGATAGACATGCCCAACTATATGTTACCACTGGCAACACGCACTGGTTGTACACTAATGTTTTCAATGATTTAGTAGTACCATAGACCATTTACATACCCTAAGATAAATTGTATGGAAGACCGAAGAGTACAATCTGCCACTTCGCTTGACCTATGTGGACCTTTGTTTCCGTTGAAATTTGGGCGATGTTACAGTCCCTTCTCAGCGGTGCCAAGTTGACTATCGGTATACCTAAGCTCTGAAGTGTTTGTACAGTGTGGCTACGATGGCTTTCCGAGTACAGAACCAGAGTACGAAACCTATCCAACTGTAGAGAGGTGTAAGACACGATGACGTAATATCCTCGAAACTCTTCACAGGTGCATTGGAAGACGTTTTCAAGCTTACTGTATTATACAACTAGTCCGTGTTGCCAGTCATGACCTATGGATCTAAAACGTGGTCCTTAACTGCTGGCCGTATAAGAAAGCTCAAGGTCGCTATGAAGAGGGCTATACTCGGGGTTTCTCTGCGTGATAGACCTGAAAACGAAGATATCCGCAGTAGAACCAGAGTAACTGACATAGCCCAACGGATTAGTAAACTGAAGTGGCAATGGGCCGGCCATATAGCTCGAAGATCCGACAGCCGATGAGGAAGAAAGGTACTTCAGTGGCGGCCTCGTACCGACAGGCGAAGTGTAGGGTGTTCCCCCACAAGATGTCGATGAATGCAGGTGGCTCAAGACCGCGCTTTGTGGCATCCCTTAGGGGAGGTCTATGTTTAACAGTAGATTTGTGAAGGGCTGTAGTGATGAATGACGTCCTAGCAGTATTTATTGATTTTTCTCGTGCTTTCGATTCGCTAAATGATAAAAAACTAACAACTGAGCTAGAAAGTACTGGAATCCGAGTTGTAATATTAAACTTGTGCCAATACTATCTGAAAGACAGAAATTATAGTGTAAAAATAGATGAATGCAAGTAAACCCATATCGGTCTCGACAAGAACGGCTCAGAGTTCGGTGATTGGTCCACTTCTCTCTCTGGCTTATGTTAACGACATGACCAATGTTCTTAAATACTGTACCTCTTATCAATTCGCGGATGACACGTGGATCAAGTCTGCTGCGAAAGATTCACACGTAGCAAAAAATAATCTGCAATCTGACTTCAACAACTTAAATAAATGTTGTAAACTCAGGCCTAGTGTTGAATGCAACTAAAATTTCTTGTATTATTATTTATCCTGTGCTAAAACTTAGATACTACACAAAGATCCCATTATATAAGAGAGAAAAGTATATCGAACAATCTTATAGCTCGTGATCACAGTTGCCTTCATAATTTGAGTTACCATCCTTATAGGTGTTTACCAATTAAAACAGTAGATTCTCACGTGTACCTTGGATTAGTAATCGATATTACATTTGACTGGGGATCCCAAGTTTTTGAAGTCGCTAAATCTGTTCGAAAATTGTTCCGACAGTAACTTGAGTTCTTCAGCATATTGAGCATAAGCAATAATTATATAGCAATAGCAATATAGCAATAATACGCAGAGAGCATGTTGAAATGGTAACTGTTACCAGACAGCATCTGTGACTCCCACAAGCGTAGTTTGATCTGAAACGCTTTCAAATGGCTGTACAAATCATTTACTAACTGTTCTTGTTTTTGAGGTTTCAAAATTAAATTATTCAATTAGCCTGTAAGATCGACCAGAAATGCCAAGTCACATAATATCCATTTTGGGTCACTTAATTCAGATAATAGTTTATCTTTTATTTTCATAAAGTCTGCTATCTCATTTCTAAGCTCGTAAAACCGCTTCAACATTTTTCTTTTGCTCAGCCATCTGACTTCACAATAATATGTTACGTCGTTATATTCAGCTGATATTTCATCCAAAAACCCTTGAACTAAAGATGGTTAAGCCCTCGGGATCGAATAAAGTTGATGGTTTTCACTACCACATTCATAACATTCTGGAGTCGAATGGACTTAGAACACAAGTTCTGTTGGTAGATAATGCAATGAAGGACTGTCAAATCATATTTTTGTGCATTTAATTCAGTTGCTTTTGCATTCAAAATTCCGATGAAACCTTTACGAAGGCCGACCATAGAAGGTGCACCATCAGTGCATACTCCAATTAATTGTAACCATGGCAAGCCAAAACTTGTGAATACCTTTTAAACTTCAATAAAAATATCCTCTCCAGTAGGGGTTCCTTTTAGCGGCTGTAAAGCAAGCAATTCCTCAGTAACAGTGAACTCCTTATCAACACCTCGAATAAATATAGCCAGTTGAGCTGTATCAGACAAATCGGTACTCTCGTCTAATACCATGGAATATGATTTAAAACCAGCCATACGGTCAGTCAATGTTGTTTTTATATCATTAGCCATCATTTCTATACGTCGAACATCAGTTCGTCGTGACAAACTAATTTTTTCAAATTCACAAATACCGCAAACTTCTAACATACACTCCTTGATAAATTCTCTTTCGGCAAATGATTTTAATGCCTTTGCTAATTTTGAGCTAAGTATAAAACTAGCTTTCACAACATTATCAAGTTGTATTTTTTGTTTATGAAACATTTGTTGCCGTTTTTCTAAATTTGCAGTAAGCTTCTGGATTTTTTCTGTTTTTAATTGTCCTGTCAGTGAGTGCAGCGTAGCATGTTTAGTTGAGTAATGCCTCTTTATATTGAATTCTTTCATTACTGAAATGGATTTATTACACAGCAAACAAATAGGCTTACCATTGTGCAAGATAAAAAAGAATTCTTCAGTTCATTTTTCTTGAAACTGGCGACCCTCTGTATCTACTTTTCGTTTCTTTCCACTAGACATCATTTTTGTTTACTTTTCGTTCAATAAACTTAATAACAAACTATAGTTAGTAACAAACAAGTTGACGGCTCGAGCAGTTCGCTAGGATATCGCTTGTCCAAGTTATCACCTCGGTAGCTCAAATGGAACTGGACTAAAGTTCGGGCCATCCACCCGCTTATATAGTCAAAATGAAGGAATAATCTGGAATAAACTAATGATTTCTTATATTTACGCGAACACTACACATTTTTAAATAAAACTAATTTTACGGATTTTATCGCGTATATTAACTTATTTTTATATTCCCGACGTTTCGGGTGCTTTCCAGCACCCGTGGTCACGGGCTCACGGGGGACTGAGTTGTTTGACGTCCTGCTGTCATAGTTAGCCCGGCTACCTTCAGTTTTTTAATATTAATTTTTGGTTCGATTTACGCAGAATGAGCTCACAGTATCTTGAAGTCTAGCAGTGGTATACTTGGGTTTGGATTTGATTTTATTAATTATGTGATCCCAAGCAGATGGCAGCACCCATCCATCTTCTCTATTGAAATTAGGATGTTTTTTAATTTCAATAGCCTCGCGAATCATCCTTGGGAGGAATCGGTGTTCTTTTGCGAGGATTTGTGGTCTATCAAATCTAATGTAATGACGGGGACGATCCTGAACATGTTCACAAACTGCAGACTTCCCGATACGTCTTCATGAACGTGAACATGTTCAGGATCGTCCCCGTCATTCCGTCAGTCCGATTGAAATCCGCTAGAACTGCCTGTAAGAGATATTTATATATAGAAGTTGTTATTTACCTCTATTTAACCAATTTTTTCAACTTGAAATCTTGACATAACATATCCTATTAATAATTCCCACTTAATTCCACAGTAAATCATGTCTTGACAGGTTCAGATACGTACACGACAGGCAGATGACTATTTTCGTAATGTTGAGATTAATAAACAAGTATTCTTACCTTGTTAAAACGAATCGTAGTTCCACCTAACTTCTATATAACAAACCTAATTATAACGAATTACTTGGTATAATAACGAATACTTTCTAATTCAATTCAGTTTCGTAATATTGAGGTTTTTCTGTATTCGAGTATTTATTAAAATTAGTAGAAATAGAAAAGTAAAATTATGATCTATATCTATACAAATAAATAAAATTGAAGTGTCTGTTAGTAATGTTAAAATAACAGCTTTTTACTAAATACATATGAATGTATGATGATATAAATACATATGTATGTAAAAAAACACAATTTTTAAATTTTTGTCTGTCTGTCTATCTGTCTGGCGGTCTGTCTGTCTATCTGTCTGTTTGTTCCAGCTAATCTCTGAAACGGCTGGACCGATTTCGACGGGACTTTGGACTGGCAGATAGCTGACGTTCTAAGGAGTAACTTAGGCTACTTATATTTGAGAAAAAGAATCAGGGTTCTGAGCAATATAATTAAAACTCTAAATTACACACGGGCGAAGTCGCGGGGAACAGCTAGTTTGAATAAACTCACCGTATAATGGAATTAAGAACTGTACGGTATTTATGTACTGTTTACTATAACTTTCATATTAATATTGTGAGCCAGCAATATTTGTTATTTGTTGTGAATTGTGCACTAATAAAACTGTAACTATAGACTATTAATTATATACTTTATTAAGAAACTGTGGTAAAACGGTAAGAGTAAAAATAAATTAGTCGGTTAGCCATGTAGCACCACTCCACAATACAGAAAAATAAATAATTAAAGAACTAAGAGCGAGATTGCAAACGAACTAGTTCGCATAGTTCACCTAAAAGAGCGCTCTTCCCACCTAGGTCGTTCGCGAACTACCCAAGACTAGACATAACCACAATTAGTGGTGGTTAATATATCATATAGCAAAATAAAGCACCGTGCTTTTCATACATAATAAATAGCAAATGCTATCGTGGCTCTCACTTCTTGCTATTTGCTTAGTGCTTTTTTACATCGCACTCTCTGTCTCTGTCAGTCGCGCATCACAAAATCGCAAAGCATGAAAGAAAGCAATAGCATCGCGGCGGCCAGTCGTCGCATGCTAGAGATTGCTTTCGGTCGCGTAAGTGAGTAAGTAATCGTTTTACGCACCGCTTGCGATTTTGCTAATCCGCGATCTCGGGCGGCTCACGTAATATAATATACGTAAATATTATTTTACTTCGTGCTTTTTAGTGTAAATAAACAGTGATATGACACCTTAATATTTATTAGCTATAATTGTGCAAGTAAGGACAGAGTGAGATATCGTGTTGTTGTTTTGAGTGTAGGTATAATAACAGACGAAAATGTCTAGAAGGAACAGTGATTTGCCAATATGGAACTTTTTTGAAAAGCCCATTGATGGCCGTAAAACTGCTACATGTAATTACTGTCGTCGAGAGTTGTCGTTTAAAACGAGTGTTAACGAGTGAAAACGAGTAAACGAGTTTAAAATATGTACATATATGTATATACTTGATTTTTGTAACTACAATCAATGAACTTTTAAGTACGCCTATAATTGCTTTAATTAAATACTAATATACTTTATTTCATCATAACACTTAATTAATTATAGACAGTCCTAAGCCTGAAAAGTATGAAGGAAAGTTCATTGTTTTTTTGCTGTTCCGTATCGTAATAAATTCATAAACGCGATGCACCGCGGTTGCTACCTAAAGTCGCTCCCGCCCGTTTGGCGCCCGTAAAAGTAGGTACCTACTACCTACCTACGCACGGTCGCACGTACGCAGTCGCAGACGTCGCAGTACGCTTATAAAAAGCATGCTTATAATAAAGCATATAAAATAGCTTGCTTAAAATATAAAGCATATAGCATTAAGCAAGTGATATCCATATAGCAACTTTGAACACTACTAACCACAATACCAAGGGCGATATAGACTAAATAAAAAAAAAAGTGTCGACTGTCGATGTCATTATCATTTTCATAAGAAAACAATATTGTGAATTGATTTTAGTTTTTCAATTTTGGGTTTATGGGGTTTGTTATTCAAATAAAAGTAGTGATCTCTCGTTACATGGTTAGAAACTAGCTTAATCCTTGGTACTAGTGATTTTGATTTATATAATCCCGCTGGGTTTCTTGCTGGTTCTTCCCAGGACAAAGGGTTTTTTTTTCGAACCTGTAGTAAAGTAAAAAATGACTTTCAATACGAATTACACATGTAATGTATATTGAATAAAAAAAAAACTTTTTAGTTTTGGGTGTCCTCAGATATCACGCGTATAGCTGTTTCTATTTTCTAAGGTTAAATAACTTTTTCCTGCAGTAACTTTGTGTACAGACAGTAAGATTTAATTAGTAAGTTTATGTAGGTATGTGCTACATATACATATTTATATTGTATTATAATTCTATAAAATTAAAATGTAGTGTTATTGTATTCTTAATAGGGCTGTCCCCATTTAAGTTGACAATTAGGGACAAAAACCTCGAACATTTGAAATTGAACAAAATTTCAATGAAATTGACCTGAGTTTTAACCCCGGACGTCTATGAAAACTTGTTTACTACATTATTAAAACATAAATTGGTTTCGTTAAAAAATATATATCTAAGCACGGCATGTAACTTTAGATTGTATTTTACTTTAAATATTTATAATGATGAAAGTACATTAAATTACGTATTCTAGATATACTAGGCGGCCAAAGCGGAAGTTTTCCACCGCCTATGTTTGGGGTTGGTGCAGTCCATGATTTTGTATATGGCTCCTATTTGGTTTGAGGCTCTGACTGCAAGGACAGAAAATGGCGATGGCTGTCTAATTCATACAGGGCTATCGCATCATCATCTATGAGGTGGCATGTAAATTGGTGGTGACACTTCCTTGGGACTTGTAGGCAGTTTCTTGCATTCATGAATCAATGTGTGTGTTATCCCTTATCAATCATATCAATCAATGTGTGTCTTAAAGAGTTATAAATGCAAATATTCTATACATACTCCGATTCTACTTTGTTTATATTTGAAAATTGGAAAGAATAACTGGGCAAAGCTAGGGCAGGAAACAGAACTGGCTAAGCTGTTTATCTTGTCCTGTCAGACAATGAATAGGTGGCACAGGTCAAATTCAAATTCAGAAGCATTTATTTGCATAGAATATGTGTCTGGTTATGTATGGTACCTTCTGGTTGATGCAGGTGCTTACTGGGCTCAATGCTTTTGCAAGTGTCTGTGCTATATAGTCAAAAGAGCCTACAAACAAGTGCCACCACTGAGGAAGAGGCAAGGACATGGTGCAGGAAGATTGAAGTACTCTAGAAGATTATCCTGCTTTTGCTGAGTTGTGTTGTCATCTTTGTGGCTATAGTAGGAGATGACTTAGAAATGAGGTGAAATATTTGACAGATATAACAGGGGAAGTTAATTCGTTAGAAAAGTGTAGAAATGAATGTATCTTTCTGGAATATTTTACGTTATTTAGATTAGAAATGGATAAATCAAAGTACTGATATTCCTAAAAGTAGGAGATTTAAAATAAATTTTAACAAGTGTTAAAATTAAAATTTTTGTACAATCAAATCTACACTACTATTATAAAGAGGAAAGATTTGTTTGTTTCTTTGAATTGAATAGGCTCCGAAACTACTGGACCGATTTGAAAAATTCTTTCACCATTAGAATCTTACATTATCCCTGATGAACATAGGCTATATAATATTTTCAAAAAAGTTAGGTGTCCATATGAAAACTTCGTTAATGTAACCCAAGGTGTGAAAAAAATACCAAAAATAATCCTTATATCGCTTTCGCTGCGGAAGCTATTGATAATAGAGCAAAGTAATGTTTAACTATTACCATATGTTTACCTATTACAGTTATGTCACAATAACTATTTTTTCATGTTAAAATGTGAAATAGTAACGCCGGTACAAAATAGGCCACATTATTCGTATCAGTACCTGTATGATGCATAACCAACAATTCCGTTAACCATGTAATTTTAGTAACATATTTCACTTTTTAAAACTTTGTTAATTCAGCAACCATCCGTCGTGATGTCTCTCTCTAAGTTCGCATGTCGCAAGGTGCAGACGCGTGATATACGCGGGTGAAACGGCGGGGCACAGCTAGTTCTATATAAATATAATGAGAACATCATCAATGTAGTCAAAGTCAATTAAATGTGCATTATTAAGGATAACTCAAAAACTACTGGTCAGATCTTGATCAAAAACAGACACATAAAGCACCAGCTTTCAAAAAAAAAAGAATCATTAAAATCAGTTTACCTATAATAATAAAAAAATACAGCCGAATTGAGAACCTCCTCCAATTTTTGAAGATGGTTGAAAAATTTGTAAAAAACATAATGTACTGAGGCATTGTTTTGTGTATACACATACACTAAAAACTGCAAACCTTATAATTAAATTGTAACTTTTTAACAATGATGATACTGTGTGACCATCTGTGTAACAAATAAGTTCAAAATAGTCCCAACTAGCGACATCTGGTAAGATTATTAACTTTCATTTATTGAAGATATAGTGTTTGGTAATGAACTATAGCCATAGCAGCAAACACAATTGATCATACTGGTCTTGTTAGACCTGCATAGCTGCTTGCAACATAAAAAGATTTCTCTCATTTCTGATAGGGTCTTAAGACAAGGAATTGAATTTATTGATTACTATTAAATTAATTGTGTTCCACGGTCACCTTTTGAACCCCCTTAGGTTGTTTCCTAGGTACTCTTTGAATTAGAACAAAAATAAATCAGCATTCAGACAAATGGCAGCTGAGTGCCAATGGGAGATAGACACAAGTTTACAATTTTGAACTTCTAGTTAATGAAATACAAGAAATGAATTTGAAACTTCTCTCCTTTATACACAGCTATACCATGTTTTTCAGTTATGTGTTGTTATTATTTATTTTTTATACAGTTTTGTCATTTCAATAGGTTTACCAAGATATGGCATAGATCCTAGGCTAAATCATAAGATCAGAGCTCATCATCTCATTATCTAAGAGAAGAAATCAACAATATATTTAGTGGATTATTTAACAAAAATGACAACAACACCAAGTATTGCTTTGGAAAATGGTTTAAATTTGAAGTAAGTAATTACCTTGTTGTTTATTATAATATTTCGTACATTACTACCTATCTACAAAATTCATGTTAGACTTAATTCCAAATAAGTAATAGTTAATTTGATAAAGTGTTAGTGGTGCAATATTCTTTAACAATGGTAATTTTAGGGTTTATTATACAGTAGAAACGGCAGCCCCATGAAGGGTAAAGGGAGTGAAGAGAGGTATCAGTGTGGAGAAGCATAGCTTTCGAAAAGATAAACCCTAATTAACCTTTTTATGCTTTCTATACTTCCTTACCTGTAAAAATGGTCTCCGGTTCTCTTCACTCACCATACGAAACACAGCAGCATTATTCGTCTGTTTAACACTTGTGATCTGTGAGAGCGTGGTCCTTCCCCAGTTGAGCCGACGCATTTAAAACTATAACCTTAGATCAATCACCATAAAATGGCCTATTTTCCGTTGTCTCTCATGCCCTTTGCGGGCTTCGCGAGAGACGTGGTCTCCGGTGGTGCAATGATTTACTTAATTCATGTTTTATTCAATTATGTGGGAGTAATTACATAGTTTTTACAATAAAATACTAAAAAAATGTTATTATAACATAGGTATGTTTTAATAATATAAGGGGGGGGGGGACTGCTATTCCTCCACGCATATGGCTTCACAAAAACACTTCCAGAGGTAGTAGTAACAAGACTATGTAGAATTAGGGTTGGCTTCGGTTTAATGAACCTACAAAATATGATAGGGAAATAATGAATAAAATGTAATTAATAAATAGTTTTCACACATTTATTTTATTGGTTTAAGTAACATATTAAATGCATCTTCAAAATATTTTTACCGGGATCTTTATATTATTTTTTATTTTAAAGGGAAGTTCTGACTACTGGTTCAGTTCTACATATTAATGAGGACTATGAGGGCACAGATACATATTTAGAAACAGAAAGAAATGAGGCAAAGACTGTAGATTTTATTGGTGAGCCAGTTAAATCTTTTGAAGTGCTTGAGAAACAGCTATCTACTGTAGATGAAAAAGGTTTTGTGAAAAAGAAGATTATTGTAGAGGGTGGAGGATTACCTCTCAATGAAGGAAATACTGTCTCTGTTGCTTTTTCTGGTTACTGGGAAAATGACACAGAACCTTTTGATGTTGTAAAAGAGGATAAGCCAATGGTGAGTTTCTTTAAAACATATCATGTCATTTGATTACTTTTCATATCATGTGTGTAGTACAAAGTATGTTAGGTTATTTAACTGTTTTTTTCTACATATGCCATACACTGGCTATGCAAAGATGGGAGAGTAAAATTTGAAAAATTGCCAAACCTATAATTGTCAGACAGGTAGTATCGATTTAAAATTATAAATAATTAAAAAGCGCGGCTGGCTTTAGGTTTTATTGTCACCTTTTAACAATTATTGAAAGTAATTAAATTCCACACACAAAGTAATACACAACCATAAATATGCAATGTGAAAACTGAAATTACAATTTTGACAAAAAGTAAAAACTGACTTCAAATTGCTAAATAAGTCATTTATTTGTTATCCTTGAGTGGAATTTTTTCTGCATATTTATATGGGACCACCCTTAAAGTATAAACTATTTAATAATATAATTTAAAATTAAAAATTTTGTACGACCGACTTCAATATAAATTATTAAAAATAACTCAAAAACTATTGGTCAGACCTTGATCAAATTTATATGGAAGCACATATGAAGCACCAGATTTCAAATAAAAAAGAATCATCGAAATTGGTTCACCCAGAAAAAAGTTATGCGGTAACATGCATAAAAAAAGAACATACAGTCGAATTGAGTAGCTCCTCCTGTTTGAAGTAGGTAGAAAAGAATCATCAACATTGCTTCACAATCTGCTAATATATCGCGTAACAACAATAAACACACTCGAATTCAGAAACGTCTTCCTTTTTGAAGTTGGTTAAAAATAAATTAAATACTGTTGCTCTTAATTAGCTCGACAATATCAATTTTAATTTTTTATTAATTACAACACTGGCAAATTTTACGTCACAAAAAGGGAAGAAGAAGATAATATTAATATCTTTTTTTTTTAATTTCAGGTAGTTGATCTTAAAGATAATGGCTTATTGCCAGGTTTTCAAATTGCAATTCAATCTATGCTAGTTGGAGAGTTGTCAATATACCTCTTTTCATATGAAGTTATGTATGGTGAAATGGGAATCCCACCAAGGATTAAGCCTAAAGCAAATTGTGTATTTTACATAAAATTAGTTAAAAGCATAATAACTCCAAAGCAAGGGTAAGCACACACCTTATTGCCTAGCTTTTTTCATAGGAAAGTGCCTCACCGGGGTAAGGACGAGTTATGTTGGACTCACGGGAATACTTCGCATTCTTCTTGGGAGAGGATAACACCATCCCCTATTGTTCTCCTCGGCCAAAGCGAAAACAAGTGTGCTAGTCTACATGGCCTTGACTTGACACTTAGCCCTCCTCTCCTCGCCGAATACTTTACTCAGTGGCCATTGAGCTGGGAAAATCGTGTACGCGGAATTAGCCCCAGCGACCAGATCCGGTATATGGCTATGCTGCCGTAGGGTGAGTGGCGCCACACCATACCAGCACTGTTTTCCTCCGTGACTCCAGCTGGGCTGCCACAGGTAGGGTTTAAAGAACAACCCATCCGCCGCGGTCCACCTTCGCACATCAGGAGTGAGGTCGACAAATATACCTATTTGGAACAGCCATCTCGAGCCAACTATGTGGGTTTCTTTTAGTGCACTGGTAACTTAGTTCTAATCCCTCCTGCCACGACAAAGAGAAAACACGTTCATGGGGATCTATCTTATTGCCTATGGCTAGATATACGTTATTTACTAATTGCTGAAAATCATTTTACAACTTATCATTGTTCCACCTGTCTACATACTCGTATTTATTACTATACTAGCTGTTCCCTGCGACTAATCCCGCGTGTAATTTATTACGATTGGATTTCATGTGTTTTAATTATTTTGCGCGGAAGCCTAATTCGTTTTCAAAAACAAAGTTCTGTCAAAATCGGTTCAGCCATTCCGGAGATTAGCCGGAACAAACACAGACAAACAAAGACAGACAAAAATTTTAAAAATTGTCTTTTTGTTATATGTAATGTATTATACTTTCATATGCATTTAGTAAAATGCTGTTAGTTGACATTACAAACAGACACTTCAATTTTATTTATTTGTACAGATTATACGACCCAAGTTGTTATAATATACTTTAAGATAGTATTATATATTTCAGGCCAATAAATTATTCAGAACCCAATACATTTGAGAGGGTGCATCATGAAGTTAAATTGTTATACAGTTCAGGTGTAACATTGCACAAAACGAAAAATTACACAGCAGCCATACAATTATTTCGAAAAAGTGTAAATATGCTCCATAAATGTCGCTTAGCTGATGAAAATGAAGAAAGCATCCAAGAAAAATTACTCATAAAGCTTTACACAAATTTAGCCGTATGTTACAATAAAGTAAAACAACCTCTACGAGCATGTATTGCTTGTAATGAACTTGCTAGGCTAAGAAGTCTTTGGAACAACAGCAAAGTACTGTTTCAGAACGCAAAGGCACTTCGCATGATAGGCCAATTTAATATGGCAGAGAAAAAAGTTAGAAGAGCCCTAAAGTTAAGCCCAGATAATGAAGAAATAAAAGCAGAGTTAGAATTACTGGAGAAAACTCGAGATTCTTGTAATCAGACCCGATTGATTGATAATGAGAATAGATCACTTGAGTTAGTGAGTGATAATTTTAAGCAAGAGGTAGATCAACTTATAAAGAATTTTAAAACTAACCTAAATCTGTGTAAGCTGACACTACCGGGTGGTTTGAACTCCGATGAAATAAATTATATAAAAGAAGCATGCATAAGAGAAAATTTATTTTTTAATAAAATTCAAAAGAATTATTTACTGGACAAGGATATAACAGTTTCAAGTGAACTTAATGATGAGGAGATATTAGAAAAATATGGTCTATTAAGCAATGATTAACAATTTTGTAATCTTTGTATAAGAATGATAATAAACAAGTGTTCAAACATCAAATCCTTATTTTTCACATTATTTTTTAATCATATACCTTGAAATAATTTAAAAATAAATAAATAAGGAATAGTGTATATAGACATTCGGCAAGAATAGCAGATAGCTGCTATTCTTGCCGAACCAAACTCTTGGTAAGTAAAACAGCTCACTATAAAAAGGCACTCCTTCTTTTCTCGCAAATCTCTTAGATATACAAAATTTTTATCATTGATTTCACAAAAAAATATCCTGTTCGTGAAATCATATGACTTTGTTAAACAAATTAGTAAAATATGATTCAGTGTAGGTAAATATAAATTGACGTCCTGCGGCTAAGTCAATTTGACTAACCCACTGACAAAGCATATTGGAAGTTGATAAATCACCTGTATTACTTAGGACCTTGTTTTCTTGCATTTCTTGGGGAAGGCCTATGTGACCTATGTGGTGGAAGCAGTGCAGTGGGCTTATGGAAGACTGATAATAATGATAATACATTTTTTGTATATACAGTAAAATCTCTTTATTCGCGGGGTATATGTTCTATAAAAAAGCAATTTAATTGGAAGTTTTTGACCATATTGATTAATTATTATATCTTCAGGCTTAGGCAGTGGTTAAAATAATTTTGTAAGACTTCGTTCCATAGATGGATCAATTTTCATAAAGAAATCACGAAGATCATTTGCCATTCTTAAACCTTCACTAAGATTTTTCAAATTAAATTTCACGTTTCCAGTTTTTGTTGAAGCCTCTTCTTCAATGGGCTGTGAATTTAACATTTACTTCAAGTCCGTTTCAGTCAAATCTTCATCTTGCGATTCAAGCAACTAGAGATGAGACATACTTGCAAAATTTAATACCAGGGCTTTCTAAGTACGAGTATGGAAAAATACCAGGGTCGAAAACCAGGTATTAAAAATACTTGAAAGTATTTGTTAATGTCAATATATATATATGAATGCCTAATTTGATTCGGGCCAAAATTTATACTGTACCTTTTTAAATTTTTTTTTGGTAACGAAATGAAATCTTTCCTTCCTACTTTTCGACTTAGGACTCTTAATAAATAAAAGTTTTAAAACTGTCTCTAAATTCAATATACACGGGAAATAACTATTTAAAAATTACGTAATCAGGTCACAATAATAATTGAATTTACAAGAAATCCAAACAAAACTTTCACTTCCCCGAATATAAACATAATTCTTATTACTTACTAGCTACTTACGCGACGTGTACAGCCGCGGTGTCAGTTTGAAAATACTTGCAAAGAGTATAGTAATATATAAGGAAGAATACTTGCATAGGAATTCGACCCGCTTTCCATGTTAGGCTATTATGACTAAGGAGCAAATTCGTATAAATAAAAAAATACTTTCAAGTTCAAAGTATTTTTAATTCACAAATACAAAGAAGAAAAAAGAAAGTCGTACCGTGTTTTTGATTATTGTTAATTTTTACGTGTCACATATTGAAAAGTAACATACCTACCTACTAATTTTTGAAGTGAGCACCTTGTAATTTCGCCTGCTATTACTTATGCTGGCAGACATTATCCTCACCCCAATGATTGATGAGGATGAAAATCAATTTTATTTCTACATACGTAATTATATTTATTTATACATAATGGTAACTTTAATAAAGGTAATATAAAAATCAACAAGAAGTATAAGGGTTCAATCTTTCAATTTCAATTGTAAAAAAACGTTTCACACTAGGATTTTCTCCTGTGTCGTGGAGGCAGTTTACAAACATAAATTGAACAAGGACAAACATCCAGACCCGGAACAATTATTTATAGGTCATACAAATACTTGTTCCGTGCGGGATTCGAACCCGCGGCCCCCAGCGCAACAACTGATTGCTAAGCCACTGCGCCACGGAGGCGTCGCCGGGTTATAGCTAAAGTGACCATACGTCCCGTTTTGAACGGGACTGTCCCTTTTCTCGGTCACCTGTCCCATTGTCCCCAAACAAAGCTCCGGGACACAAGATTGTCCCGTAACTCGTTGGATGGAAGTATTCAAAGTCAACAGTATTTAAAGCTCAAAAAAGATGCTTACGAGCCATTTGTAAAATTAACCAAAGTGAGAGTTGTAAGCCATACTTCATTAATTTAAAATTATTAACAATGCCATGTGTATATATATATTTATACGTCAAAACTTAAGTTTTTACAAAAAACTAAATGTCCAGATGATAAAGATAAATCATAAAGATAAATTGAGCCATCTCAATAGTAAGACTGTTTTGTTTCAAAAAAGCGTATTCTGTATGGGTCCTCGTCTGTATAACCATTTACCTAAATATAAAAGAGATTCTAAGAGCCTTCACACTTTTAAGAAACAACTAAACACATTCTTAACCAAAAAAGCGTATTATAATATTATTGACGATTATTTATATGACAATTTTTAAATCTTAACTATCAAATTTATTGAACAAAACGTTATCTATGTTATTAATTTTGAGACAATAATTTATACTCGTTTTGACATTATTATTTTGACATTACAATTTTAATTATTACATGTATTTTATAATTATTTTGTGAATTATTATTATGTTAGTAGTACAAATATACAAATAGGGTTATATTATGTTAATGTAATTATCGGAATTTTCTATTTAGTTTTAATTATAAATAAAATCTTATATTTAAGTAGTTTGCACACCGGAAGGTAGAATATGGCTGTATTTTGTTAAATTATTAAGACCTATTGTAACCCATATATCGCAAATGAATTTGAACATAAATTTTTTAAATCGATTATATTTTATGTCTACCTGGTACAAATGCTCCAGTAAAAAGAGAATTTTTTTATTTTGAATAAATTGTGGACATCTGAAAGAAACACGTTCCAGTTGTAAAAGCGATGTTGTGTGGACAAAAGTAACAATAAAAAAACTTGAGCTGAATTTTATTCTTATTTAAAATCATCACCAACTTTATTAAAGCAAATTTAATCCACTGACAAATGTAATTAATAATTAAAAAAAAATGTTGCATTTAATAATTACCGTCTATACCGAATATAATTTTATAGTGAACACTAATTGTATAAAGTTATAGTTTTAGAGTATAAATAAACCCATGTCCTGTTTTGAGTTAAAAAATAAATGGTCAGTTTAGTTTTTTTTAGTTAAATTTAGTTTTAAAAAGTTTGAGTTTATAGTAAAAAGTAGGTATATTAATACCTACTTAGATACTTTTTACCGAATTAGGGTGGAAGACTCTAATACCAGTCATGCCCCTAATTCCAGTCTTTTCGCCTTTTTACTCCATAAATAAGATTTCTAGTAGTCTTAACTACAAATATTGTCATCTAAAAATTTCTTTGTACCTAGAGGAAAGTATATTTATTCAAATATTACCTCGCAGTTTTAAACCTAACAGAGTTAAAATCAAAACAGGTACGCAACGAAAAACGATCATTTTCCTAATTATTTGACAAGTTATGATCCCGGTAAAATTATGCTTACTTTACATTATCTCATATATAGGCTTTTTGATTTGTATGAATATGACTATAGACAGAGTAATGCAGTTATTTTTGTTTGAATTTACAAGTTATTTATTTTCTTTTAGTGGAAATTAATGGGGCTGTAATTAGATATAAGAAATGTATGGAGTGCATAATGTCAGCCGCCCGGCTGTTATTTGGTTTGACGTACCTAATTTCAGCCACGTAATATAAATCAGGGCTGCCATAAACTGGAATAAATACCATTAATTAGATCATAACTTATAGCTAAGGGAGTTATGATCAATTCGTCTGTTTTAAAATTGGTTTTAGATTTTAAAGTTTAGCAAAAGATGTACTAGCTTTTCTCTCTGACATTCGGCGTATAGAATACCGTATGTACTCAATTATTTTTTGAAAAAGAAGAAAAACAAGCAAAAAATAATATACTATATTTTAGCAAAACACTAACTTAGTAATACTAATTATAACTTAGAACATAAATTACTTTTTGGACCGACCTAGGATGCGAACCTGGGACCTCATGATCAGCCGTCGCACTACTACAACCACTAGACAAACGAGGCAGTACTATACCTAATAAGATATTGTGGTTGGGTATTAGGATTATTTTTTTTTTTAACTGTATACTATACTGATAATATTGAATTAGCCTTTTATAGTGTAAATTATAATATTTGTCGAAATGTTAATTATGGATTCGAACATGCTAATGGTGCTTTATTTTTTTATTTGCATTTACTTCAAAGAAAATACACGCAAAAAGCTTCATCGCGCAGTAAAAAACACAACAAATATATGTATAACTAATACGAAAAATTATACCCAAAACAAACAAATAATACTACCCATAAATAACCTAATAAGTAATAATATTATCGACTGATAAGATGACGTGAGCGTGTGCGCTGGCCGACGCTCTAACGACACGGATTTCACGTTCAAGAGCTCAGCGCTCACTGACTCTAGCAAGCCCGTGGCCAGTGAATACGCCCAGATTTTTAAATAATTTCTTAATAAAATCAAATTTTGGTCTTTAGAAAAAATTTTATAATAGAAATGTTCATCAATAAATTGCCTATCCATTGGTGTAAATCACAAAATAAAATAATACTTACTTTACGAGGAGATGCATGTTATCAATAATTATTTCACATTTATGTGGTTTCGTTGTAAGGAGTATATTTCGTTGTATATTAATATTTATTCCTTTAAAAAAAATTGTATATAGCTCTTATGGAATCAAGATTATGAAGAAATATAATGTTTTTTATTTGTTGATATATTTTTTAAATAAAAAGTAGATAGCTCCTGAAAACCGCACAAATAACGACTAGCGCGGCATTTTGCTCAACCTGCGCCTTAACTAAATCCAAGAAAATATACAAAACCTGCTCAAACTTCAAAAACTTTAATAATTTAAGTTTGTATAAAAAGGGTTATTATAATTTATGGATAATAACCCCTGGGAATGAGATGATCACTACCAAGCTATATTTAATTTGTTTTGTGTTGTTAATTGTGTACATGATTGTAAGCAATGGCGTAGCTAGACATAGGCGAAGTGGGCTCTCGCCTACGGCCTCGCACTTAAAGGAGCCTCGCGAGTCCCTTTAAAATGCGATGCCCGCAGACTTTACCACAGATGACTAATTAATTTGATCACTTTTACGCTCGAAAAAGAAAATCAAAAATTTTAGTGCGTTTGTTTGGGACCTCGCAAGAAGCCCCTCTTAAGTGCGACTGCGAGGCCGTTGTAACTAACTTCAAAAACTGCGACTATTACATTGACGGAATACGAGACTTGTCTAAATTAATAGATGTGAGTAGGTATGTCGTGTCAAAGCATGTTTGATAGGATAGATATTGGGTAGATCCTTGGAACGAAAGAAAAGGGAATTTTGCCCACGTTTATAGTCCACGCTATGCCTCTGATTGAAAGCTGTTATTTAAAAAAAGTCCCGCTGGCTTTCTCGCTGTTTCTTCCAAGGACAGAGGCTTTTTTTCGAACCAGTGGTAATTAAACAAAATAGTAACTTTCAATAAGTATTATTTGTAATCTATATTGAATAAAAAAGTTTCTGTTTCTGTATAATTATGAATAATACACGAGTCACGAACTCATCCGAACGACGCACCATAATCCACGAACAGAGTTTCGGCGCCGCCGAAGGTTCGGCAAATTTTTTTCGGAAACCGAAACTATTCTAGATTTTTTTGCCGAAAATTTTCCACCAAAAGGTGTAATTGGCTCTCATTGCCATAGCTAATCATTGCAAATACAAGTTAGCTTATATTCCTATCTGCTTATGATAGCTGGCACTACTCATAGTCTACTACCAGTCAGTCATTGAAAGCGTCTAGACGGGGCAATCGTGGGGTGCGGGCACTGACCTATATATATATATTTATTAACTGTTATTACTAATTACTACTCTATGAGATATTCGTCGTTCGGGGGCTGTCTGGCAGGGTTGTTATATCGTTATGTTGCTTTTCAGTTGGGTGTTGAATTAGTTACCTAGCGTGTAATTGTTCAAAGTACTTTTTATTAACTCCTGAGAAAGATCCAAGTAATAACTGTTCTCCAACCGCTTTCAGAAGCTTGGCAGTTTAGAAAAAACTACTATACCTATAGTGTTACGAGCCACTCCTGTCACTTTGAAGGCGGCGCCTCTAGTTAAATTTACAGACTGAAGGACCATCCATTTCTTCCAAAACACTTGCACAATCTAACCGAAACTATCAAGAGCCAGTACAATTTTCCAAAAAATGTAATATTTGATTTTATCCTATGCAAAAATATTAAATTTTGATAGGATTAGTTATATGGTCCCTTTAATTTTGAATGAAATTAACTTTTCCTGTTATCGCGTTTAATTTACGTGATTTAAATTTTGTTCATTATGTTTCGAGAGCTTTCACGGGTCACAAGAAACGAGTGCTGCAGACTAAAAATACAAGCAATAAAATCCGAAAGTCGTATCCATGACGCATTGGATGTTACTCGTGTTTAATCATAATAAAATACTCGCATTTTCAGAATTTCTATAAATTTTTATACAATCAGATGAGGTCAGGTCCTTGAAAATACTGTTATTTTCATAAAAACATTTTCGAAGACAACTACAGTTGACTTATTTATTAATTGTTTGTATAGATTAACTAAAACAACAATAATTCAACAAATTATACTTTATTTGCGTTATTACAATATTCCATAAAACTAATAAATGACTACAGTCTATTTGCTGAACCGCGCCTTAAATAGTCTTAAAAATGCAACACTTATCATTATTGTAAGTGAACAAAAATGCAATTGTAGATTAACAATCTGCATCTTTCTATGAGCCAATAAATCCTAAATAAATGAAATATATTTCAGTTTTGTGACGGAAGGTTTAGGAGTACATTTTGGCCTTGAGGTAGATAAGTAACATTTCGTGATTTTGATAGCTGATAAGCAATGTCTTCAGCAGCTTCAATGCGCCTTAGTTCAACGAGACCTTCTCCCGCTACGCCAAATGATTTTGCTAGTAGTATTGCTGCTTGAGCATCACCTTCTGCTGCTATTACAGCCGCTTTTTTCTGTTGTTCTGCCTTCTCTACTAGGAACCGCGCCTTTTCAGCATCTTGTTGCGCAACTTGTTTCAGTTCTACTGCCTGGGTGAACTCTTTGCCAAATGTTAAATGTGTGATGGAGATGTCATCCAAAATTAGCCCAAATTGAGATGCTCTTTCAGTAAGGCTTTCGCTAACTTTTTGTGATACAACCTGTAAAATGATAATTTTTACTGAATAAAATGTTTTACAGTCTTTTTATTTCTTAGTTACTTGCACAGTAAATATATATGGTATCAATTCCAAGTCTGTCAATCATTTTCAAATATTTTTTAATTTTTAAGATCTTTATTTTCTTAACACGAATATTACTAAAACTTGATAACTTTTTCATAACATTTATCACTAATATTGATTTATCCTTAAACATAATTTAATACACATAAACCTATTTATACTGCCAGATCCGTATTATTAGATTTGTAAACTCACCACAAAAAACATTAATATACAGAAAATATTTATTCTCTATGAATATTTTTTTATTTGATTTTGATATCATTAAATATTTTGGTACCAACAAAAGACAACATTGCATACAATTTAAGTGACACAAAAGACAATGTTCTCTTCAGCTTCATCATCATCATTATAAACGCACGGTCCTGAGCCACCTGCATCCAGTGACTTCCTGCATGTCTTACCAGGTCATCACTCCATCTAGTGAGGGATGCCCTACACTCTTCAACTTATGATGGGATATCTAAAGTCTTAGTCTAAGTCAAGGTGATGGGTTCTCTTATGTCACCACCATGTGACATTTTAATTTAAAACTAAATTTCTTGTTTGTAAATTTAACATAAATGTTATATAACACTCCCAATTGTTTCATTTATTTCCAAACTTATAGAATGGATTTTTAATTTCCTTATCTTCTTACATAGGCTGCACTAAAAGTATCGGGAATGGAATATTTCCACTGTTCCTGTCATATTAAAATCTTTTTAATTGAAAACTCCTTGGTTTTAAAAATCAAATACCATTTATTTATTTAAAAAAAGATTCTCGGTCTTGTCACAAGGTTTTGTCAAACTTGTTTAGTCGTTGAGAAAATGGAATTGACTCGAGAAAATTCAAGAGCGATGATGTATTATGACTTTCGAAGTGGTTTAACACAAAAACAGTGTGTTGACCGGATGATTTCTGCATTTGGTGATGAAGCTCCATCCAAAACCACAATTTATGGCTGTTTTGCTGAATTTCAACTTGGATGTGTCAAGCTGTGATGATCCCCGTCAAGGTCGTCCAAAAACTGCAGTCACCCAAGAAAACGTCGATGCTGTGCGTAAGCTGATTGAGGAAGATCGACATGTGACATACCGCGAAATTCAGGCAACTTTAGACATTGGCATGAGTCAAATACAAATAATCTTGCATGAACAATTAGGTGTAAAAAAGTTGTTTTCCCGATGGATACCGCATTCGCTCTGTGAAGAGCAAAAAGCGGCTCGCGTTACTTGGTGCGTCAGAACTCTCGAAAGATTCCACGCAGGATGTTCAAATGCTATATACAACATCGTATCAGGTGACGAATCCGGGATATACGCGTACGAACCCGAAACAAAAAACCAGTCACGAGTTTGGGTGTTCGAAAATGAGTTAAAGCCAACAAAAATTGTTCGTTCACGGAGTGTTGCAAAAAAAATGGTGGCCACGTTTGTCTCCAAAACCGGCCATGTTACGACTATTTCTCTTGAGGGACAAAGAACGGTTAATGCAGAATGGTATGCTAGCATTTATTTGCCACAGAACGTTTCTGAACTCCGTAAAGAGAACTGCAACCGCCACATCATCCTCCATCACGACAATGCGAGTTCTCACACCGCACACAGAACAAAAGTTTTTAGAGCAAGAAAACATAGAATTATTAAACCATCCGCCATACAGCCCCGACTTAAGCCCTAATGATTTCTATACTTTCCCTAAAATAAAGAATAAATTGCGTGGACAGAGATTTTCATCACCTGAAGAAGCTGTGGACGCCTACCCAACTTCCGAATGGAATGGTTGCTTCAATGATTGGTTCCATCGTATGGAAAAATGTGACAAATTTCGCGGAGAATACTTCGAAAAGCAATAAATACATTTTTAAATAGTAATGTTGTGTCACTTCCTTGATTCCCGAAATTTTCAGTGTCGCCCTCGTAGTAGAATATTGAAAATGTATTACCTCTCTCTGTACAATTTAAGTGAAACAAAAGACAATGTTCGCTTCAGCTTCATCATCATCATTATTACAAAAGCACGGTCCTGAGCCACCTGCATCCAGCGACTTCCTGCATGTCTTACCAGGTCATCACTCCATCTAGTGAGGGATGCCCTACACTCCATTCGCCCTACACTCTTCAGCTTATGATGGGACATCGAAGGTCCTTCATCCATGAGTTTATATAAGGTGATGGGTTCTCTTATGTCACCACCATGTGACATTTTTTGACATTTAAAACTTCACATGGTGGTGACATAAGAGAATTCACATGGATTTTTAATTTCCTTATCTTCTTAGTAGAATATTGAAAATGTATTACCTCTCTCTGTGTAATGAGTTCTCCTGCATCAAATTGCGCAACCACTGCTTTTAAAACCTCAGCAGTAATAGAGGGAAGCACTCTTTCATCATAATCTATACCAAGAATGGTATAGATCCTTGGCAATTGGTCTGGTATAGGTCTGAATAGAATACGTAAGGTAATGTTCACATTTTGAAGATCTGAAAATGAAATGTAATAAAATATTAGTTTTCTTATAAATGAAGGAGAAGGTACCTCATACCAAACCTAAGGTCATTGCATCAAGCAACCAAATGTAGTATGTTAAAAGGAGAGTTAAACATACTTAATATTTAAATGGACCCACATTATCACTAGGCTAGGATTTAAGGTGCAAGTAATATAAATTTTATTTAAAAACAGAGTATCCTGCAGATTAGAAAAACAAGATGACAAAACTCTGGTGACCAATTTCAATTGATAGCAGAAAATTTATCTAAGAATGCTAAACTTAAGCTTCATAGATTTGTAATAGAGAGTAGCATTACCACCATGAGGTTTTTGCCTCTGTGCTCGCAATAAAAAAAAATTAAGATTAAATAATAGGTGGTAGCATAATAATATCATATAAAAATTTAAGCACAAGTCATATAATTTTATTCCAGTGACATACTCAAAAACCTTAAATCACTTCAGGTTTTACACATACCTTTACTTCCCGTCACTGTAGGAACATTTCTAGGTCTTGATCTGATATCAAAAATAATTGGTCTTTGCACCCATGGAATGAAGAAGTGAGTGCCTTCACCCACAACCAAGTTCTTTACACCCGCAAATCTATCAAAGATCACAGCTCTATGACCACCATCAACTGGAATGAAGAAAAAGATATTTTAAATTAAAATAAAACTAGTGGTTTCTCACTGCTGGCTGTTTATTTTATAGGATAAAGTTGACAAAAAAGCACACAGTCCACCTGATGGTAAGTGTATACTGTGGATCATTGTAATCTCTCCCTGAACGGGTTCCCCCCTTGTCGTGGTGCCTGCTTAGTAGCCGTGGCTTGGTCACCAACTATGAACTAAGAGGAACCCAATTGGCTGGTCTGAGGTGGCCACTCCGAGTGGGCTTGGCGAGCCTATTTCAGATGTGGGCTGCGGTGAGAGCGGTGTCTTCGTACTGCTACAGCCGAGGCGGAGTCGCAGGGGAAGAGGAGTGTTGGTATGGCGATATGGCGTCCTGCCTACCCTCCCACGCCGAAACTTGGTTGGCGGCGGAGCAAGAGACCAGGTCCGATGCTACAGTTGGAAGCTAGTACTTCCAAGTGCTCGTTTTTCCTGGAAACCTTTCCCAAGAAGCGGCTGGTGTGGGTTTTGTCAGTGTGAGTCTCTCCCCCTGCGAGGTATGTGTTGTAGGCATTTCTAGGCCCATGGACATCTACATCTATCTTCAATTAAGAATCAAAATGCAGCATTGTTACCCCTGAGGACTAAGATGGAATGCCTCGTTTCCAGTAAAAAGGGTTTTCGGTTCTCTACATTCACCATACAAAACACAGCAGTGTTAAGCTGCTATTCTGTTACAGTGTGGTCCTTCCCTGATCGAGATGACTCATTCGTACTACAACCATAATATAGATGCAGCTTGGCTCTACCATGTTAAATATGTATGATAAATATGGATAGGATAGGTCTTGTTCAGCGAGACATGGTCTACAAGGATCAGTAAGCTGAAATGGCAACAAGCTGGCTATATAGCTTGTAACTAACAAAGAATGGTTCATAAGTGACAGCTTTGAAGCTAAGCTAAGTGTAGGACAGCCTCCCACTAGATTGAGGTAAAACATGCAAGTTGAAGAATGCAAGTACTACATTTTTAATGTATTTCTTGGGGGAAAATTATATTCAGCAGTTGATTTGTATGTATGAAATGTATTTAAGTATATAAGCTTGCATATATGTATAGATGTAATAATGTTGAATACCAAAGATTTCTGACACATTTTTATTTTATAAAAAGTCTTTTTGTGGAATATTCTGATTCTTGGCCGCTATCCAGCCAATCTACAGGAAAGCATGTTAGTTATTTTGCAACATTAACAAATTTTATTTTATATAATACATTATTTATACACATACATTGGTAATATACATACCATTATATAAAGCAGAATTAACAACTCCACCAACAAGAGCTACACCAAGCCCAACTTGACCAATGCGATTAAAGAGATGTGCTGCCATTTCTGAAAATAACAAAACTTTGATATTAAGATTAAAAGTTAACAATCCAATTTTTTTTTGTTATCATATTATGTAATTTTAGTTATTACTTGGGCATCATAAGAAGTGACAAACTGAAATGAAATAGGTGTAATGGGCAGCAACATTTTCCTGATACAACACAAAATGTTATAACACTGCAGTTCCCAACACACCTGCTAAGTGTGCAATTAAAGAAAATATGAGGGTTATTTAAATATGAATACCATTGTTAGGCTGTAATGAATGAATAAATCTTGAGATTGTTGACTTGGTGTTACAAAGAGATTGAAAAAATAGCAAGTCTGACGAAACAGAGCAATTAGCAGTAACACAATTAATATAGAAACAGGAATATTAACAAGTTTCTGCAATGTTTCTGTGTATGAAAGCAGTTGCAATATTATAATATCTAAATAAATGTAAGTATACGCTTATTCAGAAACAAATACATTTTACAATTTAATATTTAGCAAATTCCACGATTATCTAACCTAAAAATAAGAATCAATTTATAGCCTGTAAAGTAATGAAAGTATTGTGTAATGTTATTTACTACCTTTTAACGTAGGAGATTATACAGTGAGCTTATGAAGTACTTATTATGAACTATTGTCTATTATCTATCTAATTTTTAATTATTTCGGCTCATGCAACAATCTAAATCCCAAAATTACAAAAAATTTGCACCACAGACAATACAATACAACGACAATATAGAAATGTTGTTGTTGTTGTTGTTTCGATTCGCCTATTAAGGTAGGCAAAGGTCTTATAATATACAGCCTTATCTAATGTGTATTTTATCCTCTAAATTCTTCACAATATACTGATGCAGAACATTGCAAAGTTTTTAGGGGATTTTAACGATAGCTTGACCTAGCGGATAGTTGATAACGATAGTAATATATCAAGCCGAGCCGATGATTTCAAAAAATTTAAATAACTATCGAGTACTTTCATCATTTCCATTAATCCGCATGCGCAGATATTTAATAGACAAAATCACTCACTTTTATGTACCTACCTATCAAAGTCCACTTCAAACTATTATAGAAACGATACTATAAGACCAACAATCCGCCGGCGGCATAGAGCAACACGGGCCACCGCCGCGGTGGACCAGGTAGCCAATATAGAAATAGCGTTTTTTCTCGATACAGAACAGTCTGTAATTTTTGCGGGTGGAAATCTGCGGAGACAAAATATCGGCTGAGACTACGAAACTCACACATAACAATAAAACAACAATTTCACACATACATAGATACATTATAACAGTAGCGCTCGGTGACAGCGACAGCGACTCGGATATAGATTCGGATTAGTCACTCAACCGATCCGCATATTGCATGATGGTGAGCTGCCTGTGTTGTTATACAAATCCGAAACAACACGACCGTAATTTTTTTGTAATTTGTAAGTATAAAAATAAGTAAATTGCAATAATGTGATTAAGAATTACTTATATATGAAAGGTAACGCCATCTTATTGTAAATTTGACGTGGCAGATCACTTTTTGCTGTAAAAAACTGAACAGTTCGGTATTTTTGTAGGACATCGATTCAGCACCGAAACTAGATTTACTCTAGGGAGCAGGGTGACTGTAACTATATTTTTGTTGCACGCATAGTACCGTGTGGACTTATACATTGACAGAGGAGAATGCAAAGAGTATAGTAACTGTCCTATACAGGAACTATTGTGGGAGAATGCCTACATATGGCTACTGCCCTCCGATCTGCCGTTGGCTTGTATTGCCTATGGTCAAGTTCCCGCCAAAACCTCAACGATAGAGATTGCTTTTTGTGAGTTGTGAGGTTGTTTGCTTTTTATACTATACTCTTTAGTATGCGGATGCTCAGCACGAAATAATAAAAAATACTCAGAATATCTGAGTGAGAGTATTAAACTGGGCATTGTGAGGTCCAAGTTCCGGTTAGTGAGAGTTATTTGCTTAATTTTGTTAATATGATTTGTCATTGTCACATAGATGTAGTATTAAACTATATGGAGTATATACTATATCTATGATTTGTCAAATATAGCAAAGGTCTTAGATCATACAGCTTAGTCTGACGTGGTGTCTTTTTTTACAAAATTCTTTACCATATGCTGATGTGTTATATTGAACAAGTCTTTTGGAGATATTGACCCTTTTTTTAAAGGAGGAAATGTCTACGCATACCCGCCTTTTGGGGACTAACCAAGATTCAGGCGCTTAGGGTAAGGAGAGCGGTGCCTCGCAATACGTCACTCCTTTCTCCCGTAGCCTCACCACCACCGCATCAACGTTGCGGCCCCACCAGAATTCAATCCAACAATCCTTTTTCCGCGATTCTACCTCGGCTGCGGCGGTAGGACAAGGTGGGAACCCATTGAGGGGGGGAGGGTTATTTAGGCTTTTAGAGTTATTGTTCCATGCGTAAATTTTACTATTGTTTCCACACTTGGTTGGCGGCTTGACAACCGCAGCTTTTTATAATTTTAAGTTCTTGTCAGGAAGATGCTGCGACCCATCTCCTGTTCTATTTCCTCTGTCACCTCTTATGACGCCCACGGGATGATATTTGTTAGAACCTAACATTTTTTGATTGATACTTTGTTTTACATGGACCAGGAATTAATGATTCTGGTGTCGGGTAACTATTATTACTAATTTGTGCTTACTACTGTCCCTAGTATTTACTTTTTTGTGTATACACATAAAATTGTATAAATATACTGAGGGCACAAATTTTATATATTCTTCTATAGATATCTTCTGCAAAACAAAGATATTTTTTTTAAAGAAGAAGGCGCAAACGAGCATGCGGCTCACCTGATGCTAAGTCTCGACCGCCGCCCATGAAATACTGCAACATCAAGGGAATCGCAGGTGTGTTGCTGCCTTTTAAAGAAGAGTAGGCTCTTTTCTTGAAGGTGGCTAAGTGGTATCGGTCCGGAAAAATCTCTGGTGGTAGACAATTCCACAAGGATATTGTGCGAGGAAGAAACTTCTTGTAAATCGCACAGTAGTGGACCGGCAATCATCCAGATGATATGGATGGTATCGCAAGTTTTATTGCGATTTGCGATGACGAAATTAAGCGGATGGAATTAGTCCGAACAATTCCTCAGAGCACTTCCTGTGGTAGATGCGATAAAATACGCATAGAGATGCAACATTAGTCAACGCAAACAGAACAATCAATCAAGCCTATCAGAAAGAGCTCGGTCACCGAGGAATTGAAACGCTCTGCACTGGATGCAATCAAATGGAAGGAGCTGGCACTGGGGAGCCGCGGCCCAGAGATGGGAACAGTAGATATTCCATGTGAGGCCGTACCTGCGCCTTGTAAAGATGCAAGCGGTGTGCCGGCACGAAATACTGTCCCGCTCTGCTGAGCCCTCCAAGCTTTTTAGAGGCCAATTTGGCCTTTTCGTCCAAGTAACCACGAAACTCCACGTTATTCGATATCTCGACGCCGAGGATTCCGATACTGGCTGAGGCAACAAGGCAATAACAACATAATTTCGATATCAGTCGCGTTTTCTTAATAAATAAGTAAAACAAAATAATCTAGTTGTGTCAAAACAATTAAGACTATTAAATTTTTTACAACATATGTGGCAAAGCTAGGCCGACCTCATTGACCCGGCCACCCCACTGCCGTTTTGCGTTAATTGTGATTCCGAGACAAACAGTGGATTCAACAACACTTATTAAATTCAACTTTTTACAACACCTCAGGTTAAACAGTTAGACATTTTCAAACAGTTTTGTTTGCAAACGACTTAAAAAAAGGAGGAGGTTCTCCATTCGACTGTGTAATATATGGTATAGTTCTAAAGCTTTTTCGGAAACTGGTATGTTCGAGAGGCTGGAAGTCGTCAAGTCTGCGTATGATAGAATCGAAATGACCCCCGAAAACAGCACAGCACATACGCAAATTCAATGGGGCATTATGTGATTTTCTGAAGAAAAAATATTATTGTTCCGTTTCTATAGTATAAACACTAATTTAAAAGCTATAAATGGATTTAAATTTGCCGTTGTAGCTCAGGAGCCTCGGAGTTCGCCGAGACCAAAGTTCCCCACTGGTACCATTGAATATAACTGATTTTTCATGTGCTCATAAGGAAGCGAGATCTGATAAGTGCTTATTTACCACGTACTTGGCGATAAAGACGTGGTAGAGCCATGCTGCAGCTATATTAATAGTATAGTTGTAGCACGAATGGGTCGGCTCGACCGGTGAAGGACCACGCTTTCACAGAATACCAGCGTCAAATAGCAGCTTAATGCTGCTGTGTTTCGTATGGTGAGTGTAGAGAACCAGAGACCTATTTTACTGGAAAAGAGGCAGTCCATCTTTGTCCTCACGGGTGACAACGCATCTGCATCTTGAGTCTTTATTGAGGATGGGTGTAGATGTCTATGGGCCACAGCAACCACTTACCATCAGGTGGACTGTGTGCTCGTTTGTCAACCTTATTCTATAAAAGAAAAAGAAAAACATCGTAATAAAATATTACGAAGACATTTCACAACAGCACGGACTAATCGCTCCATAAACCTTTCAGAAATTCAATATTCTCCTACAATATCCTTGATTGATAAGTAGGTATTATAGGTACATATGTTAACGTGAAATGCACATAAGTCGGAGAGTAAAGTTCATACACTCGGCGGTCTATTAGTGAAATTAGTAAACAGCTCTGCTAGCGGGGACCAGATGGTAATTGAACGAAAAATAAACAAACATTGATACAATAAGGGGCTAATCGGTCGGAGTTTGCTGAGGGTCGTGGGTGGCTCAATTATGCAATAACGATCAATAAGCAAATCATTATCTTGTAAAGTCTCACAAGTTGTCCAATGTCTTGTTAATATACGAGAAGCATTCGGGCAAATATGATGAAGATTACGTTGGTTCCTAGCAATCTACGTTATGAGCTTTAGATTCGAGTCTGTTTTTTTTAATTATTATAAACTTTTTGGTGTGAAATACAAAAGTTAACATATTTAAGGCTTAACATTTCTACTTCAGGAGAGGATTTAAATCAGATTTTTGGGGATTAGCATTCTAAAACGGGAAGAAACAGGAATAGAAACTTTTTTATTCAATGTAGAATATAAATAATACTTATGTATTGAAAGTCACTTTTATGTTTTAACTGGTTCGAAAAAAGAAAACCTCTGTACTGGGAAGAACCAGCATGAATCCAGCGGGACTTTAAAAAAAAAACAGCTTACAATCATGTATATTACACAATTCTTATCAACACAAAACACATTACAAATAGCCTGGTAGTGATTACCTCATTCCCAGGGGATATTATCATCCATAAATTCCTTAATATTATAATAACCCTTTTTATACAAACTCAGTTTAATAAAGTTTTTGAACTTTGAGTTTTCTGGGATTTTGTTGTAAAAACGTATACATCGCCTCAAATATGATTTACTGACTCAGTGAAGTCGAGTAACTGGTGCTACTAACTTGTGTATGTTCCTAGTATTTACATTATAAAAGTCACTTATTTTTGTACAACCACTTTTATTTTTGTGTACGTACATTACATTTTCATAAATTCTTAAATTTTTATCGGAGCGACTCTTTAGGTTTTAAACCATAGATTGATCGTATGGCCCTCTTATGTAAAACAAATATAATTTCAGTGTCAGTCGCGTGTCCCCATAGCAAAATACCATACTACATTATGCTATGGAAATAGCTGGCAAGATTTCTAATCTTTTTTATAGCATGTGCTACAGAACTAAGTCTGATTGCTAATTTTGATATATGGGGCTCCATTGAAGCTTCGCGTCTAGTGTTATTCCAAGAAAAGTGGTGGTAACGACAAGACTCAGTTCCTCCCCATTTAAAATTACATTAGTATATAAATGTTTGACATTTGTAGTCATGAATTTCATACATTTCGTTTTAGTGCCATTTAAATGCAAATTATTAAGATTAAACCAATTTACTAATTTAGATATAGCATTATTTGAAGTGTAAACAAAATCAATAATCACATATCTTTCAGTGGTTTTCCTAAGAGGCGTCAAAGCGAAATGAAAATGGAAAAAAGACGCTAATTATGGGCATCAGCATCTTTCTGATTGCAACTCAAAACAAGCTTGATGGTTCAAACAATAATTATAAAAAAACAACTGCGTTAAAAAGTTTACTGAAAAAAAAAACCTTCCCCTCCATTTTTTCCTACTTGCAGATGCAATATATAAATATTATATAGTCTGTCACTCCCACAATTAAGACGAATCTCACGAAATGTCATATGTTAAAAACCATCAAGCGGTTTAGTTTAGTATATACGTACTCTCGAAAAACATTACCCTCCTTCTGGGGCAGTCGGGTAATAGTAGTTAACTGCCGTTGCCAACCCGCCTACCAAGCGTGGCAAGTGGCAACTATAGAGAATATCCTCCTTATGAGGTAGTTTATGTTAAGCAGTCATTCGTGATATAATTAGTTTTTTTTTTATAGAAGAGTGGGCCACCGATCATGCGGCTTACGTGATGGTAAGTGTCGACCGCATCCCATGATTAAATGCAACAAAGCGTAGGCTCCTTTCTAAGAGTATATGGCAATCATGAAACTTAATTAATGGCAGTCATATATACATACATAGCTTGGTGTGCTGCTGTCCGATGGCTCTTTGCACTCAACATATACCCCATAGATTTTCTATCTAACTCTTTTATTAGTTGGTAGAGCTAGCGCTCTCTTCGTTCGTCTCCGGTAAGCGCTCATACTGTTGTGACGTTTTTCAATTTAAGGATATATAGAGGAACTGAAGAAGACATGAGAGAGAACGCATATGTAGCCATTTTATTTTGTAGACGGCGGCAAGTGTGCACGGGCTACAGTGACCTGCATCAGGTGGACTGCAATTTCACTTATGACCCATACATTAATGTTATGTTTTTAAAAGAAAAGCCATACAATCAACCTTGCGACTATAATGTAATCATTAAACTTTTATATTAGTAGGAATATGTTATCGAAATAGTTTTATAATCATAAATTATATAATTGTCTAATATAACGTTTATACAGTCCTATTCATGTAAGCCGTTCTAGATGAGAGGCTAAGCGTACTCTGTAAATTTACAGTACGCTAGCGAGGACCTACGTTGTTTCGATCCCCACAGGCATCTATAAAATTGTAAATTGCAATTTTAAGTGCTGATTTACCACGCGTATTACCCGGCGTGAAGGAAAACATCGTGAGAGAATCTGCATGTTTGAAGAATTAAATTTCTGAAGGCATGTCAAGTTAGCCAACGCGCTCGAACACTGCGGCGGACTAGTTGCTAGAACTGCCAACCTCCTACCAAGGCTACAACTTTAACTCCTGTAATTATTGGAAAAAAATGTCAACACTGATGGTTGTATCTGAAATAGTTGCTATTAAGCAAGTTTATAATAATAGCGCTCATATATATTCATACATACTTATGAATAATAAGGGGTCAATAAACGGATTCACATTGACGTATGTTTTACGAGGTCAAGATTATTTATTACTGCAAAATGAATATTATAAATATAGTATAAACAACGTGAAGTGCTTAAGAATATACTTAGATAAACGTCTTATTGTGTTTAGTTAGTGCTGGAGTGAACTGAGTACACAGTTTGTCGCGGAACATAAAATTAAAATGCATATAAAAGTGCCTGATGTAAAAAGGTGTTGTTTCTGTTTTCCATTACGTCGCGGGATCATAATATTTGCATGTGTAAATTTAGTAAGTTGAATCATTGTTTGAACGAATGAATTATTGAACTCCTTGAATTATTTAAAATTTCCATGATAACAGCGATTGTCGTCACTTGGTAAAACTCTCAATTATAGGTTAGAGATTTAACGATTTGGTTTTTTTCACTGCAATTCTTTTTTAACCAAGTACTTATTACTGACATCGCATGGTTTCATCTTACGACTTCATCAGGGTACATCAAATGCTAGAAACACGCCGATGGCATCATCGGGGTAAAAAGATAAAATCGGTCAGTTTAAATAATAAATAAATAAAGAAGTCCGAAAAGAATTGCAGTGTGACTGGAGAGTGCTATAGTCCTCTCTTTTCTTTTTTTTAACAACATTACCTACAAATTAATAACGTAGATAAATTTCACTTGGACGTACATCCAGACCCGTGATAATCATGGATAGGCCATTGAGATAATTGTTCTATCGAACAAGCATCGGCAGCCGAAGATCAGCAGCCGAACGTTTAGCCACTGTGATGCCGAGCCGTCGAAAACTTTCTTAGTCATGGTTTGATTTAGTTTGGATTGTCGCCATCCAACAAAATAATGAAGCCATGTGACGAAGAAGCGAACTCCTAGCATAAATAAATGTCGAAATATAGATGACGAAGATCATTTTTCTAATAATATTGAGTGTTTCAATAATTTTATTTTGGAAAGTGAGCAGTCTCCAGTGTAGTTTGAAATTAATATGTATATAAAAATATTATGGAGTCCGTTTCTTGTAGAGTCCCTGGGCTATAGTATCTCTTATTATGCAATAAATCTGGTCCTACACACATCCTTCTATTTTGGAAAACCTAATTTAACTAAATGTTATTTTTTTTATATTAAAGTAAATAAAAATACTTAATTATTACTGAAATTACCTTCCTGGAGTGTTTTAGTCTGGAGTCAACAAACGCGTTGCGAACACAGTATTTTCATCTGCAGAATACCATGCGGAATATGATGTACTCGTTCATATGAGATGCTTACCATCGCTATGATTTACTGATTTTATCAATCCATCCAGGTACATCCCACAGTTGGTCACAGGCATTCTCTGATTTTTTATAGGGTTATAGAGTAGTTCTTCCGTTGCGTTGGTCCAGTGCGTGTTGGCAATTTTACATGTTCTTAAAATATTTTATTTCTTAGACATTCAAGTTTCCTAATGACATTTTATTTTATGACTAAGCACGTGGTAAATTAGAGCGTAAAATTGTAATTAACAATTTCGTTTAGTACCGGTGCGACGGGTAACAAACTCGGCTTGTTTAGGTACCTACTATAAAATTTACGGCGAGCGTTTTGCCCCTGAGTTGCCGAGGTAGCTGTTATGTTAATTATAAATAAATCTTATAAGAGGACAGTGCTAAATTTAAAAAGGTTTGAACATAGTTTACGTGATTCTGTCACACTGCAGTACTGTATTATATAAATACATTAATGTTATATCTTCATTTTTTTGCGATCGAGGTAGGCTACCGTCTATATATATAGTTATTCAAATAATATAAAGCAAGGAAAGTAAAGTTGCAGCCTATTTACGTCCCACTGCTGGGCACAGGCGTCCTCTCATTTCTGAGAGGGTTTTAGGGCAAGGAAGTGTCCGCCGCGCTGCCCCAATGCCTGTTGGCGAACTTCACATGTCTTCGAAATATTTTTTTTTCTTATTTCTCAGACATGCAGGTTTCCTCACGATGTTTTCCTTCACCGCTGAGCACGTGGTAAATCAGCACTTAAAATTGCAATTGCCAATTTCATTGATGCTGGCGGGGATCGAACCAGGGTTGCTCGAGTACTGTGAAGCTTACAGCGAGCGCTAACCATCTGAACTACCACGGCTCTTTAATTCAAATAATATATTTAATAATTATTGAAATATATTATTAATCAGAGTACATGACTACGTGTCCTGAGTTCGAATACCAGCCAGAATGAACACTACAAAAGAACGGACATATATTGTTAATTTTTTACTTTGGTAAGATTTTTGATCGAAAATATAAGGTTGCGCACTGCATTACCTATAGTCTTTTTTGTTTATATAGGATAAGGGTGACAAACGAGCACACAGTCCACCTGATGGTAAGTGGTTGCTGCGGCCCATAGACATCTACATCTACAAAATGTAGATGCGTTGTCACCCGTGAGGACTAAGATGGAATGCCTCATTTCCAGTAAAAAGGGCCTCCGGCCACCTGCACTCACCAAGTGAAACGCAGAGGTGTAAACCTCTACTTCACGCTGGTTTTCTGTGAGGTCGTGGTACCACACCGGTTCGAGCCGGCCCATCCGTGCGACAGCAAAAGCTGCCGCGTGGCTCTACCATTGTTAGTCTACTGTAAAATACTATAAAATCTTCAATGCTGTGGATAGCTTCCGACAGTGTTCGGAAATTGTCGGCGTGGTCGTTCTCAATTTCATACGTGGAGAATCGTACTACACATACATTTGAATAAGTCTGAGGTAGTCCGTATTTAAAACTTTTCCTAATATATTAAAGATGTCCTACTGGTTTTGGTGACAAACGTGCAGACGTAGGTTTATAAAACAAAGTCAAACTTATTTATTGTATTCATGAGTAAACATAAGATGGTTTAATACCGTATGGTACAATAATATAATAGGTACCAATGTAGGCAAAGCAATATTAATCTGATGTAATGAATAGGTTCATATAGGATAATATGATCACATATAGTTGACGTGAAACACCAAGTTATTTATAGACCACAAATCCTCTCAAAAGAATATCGATTCCTACCAAGGATTATACTATTGAATAACGTGTAATGAAAAGCTATTAAAATAAAAAAAATATATATTTCAATAGAGAAGGAGGCTGGGTACCTACTACCACTTACTTAGAATTCTCTAATTAATAAAATTAAAACAAAACCTAAGCATACCACTGCAAGACTTTAAGATACAGCAAGCTCGTTCTGCGTAGATTGGACCAAAATTAATTTTTAAAAGCTGCACGGCTAGCATGGGCTGGGGACAAAATTTTTATCCCCTGATTATATCCACTGACAAGAGATAAAATTATCTTGTCCCTATGCCAAAGCACGGCAACGGGGAAAAGTATATCCCCGTTTGACATAACGAGTAGACATATATCCCCCGTCCGTAGCATGGAGTCAAATGCAAGATAAAACATTATGCTTTTTTGACATTTGACAAGGACAATTCATTCCTAGTTCATTGGACGTGGGATTAAGTTTATATTCATTCAAAAAATCTATCTAAATCTAAGACTATCTCCCATTTTATCTACTGTGGATGTTATATTCACCGGTGTGCCCATGCTCGAAGGGTGGATAAAACTAAGCGAGGGGATAAAAATTTTCTCCTTTCCCCGGGGATAAAATTGTCTCCTGCCCATGCTAGCCCTGCTGAAGGTACTCCGAGTTAACTTTGACAACGGGACGTCAATCACCAGCATATATTTAACATACTCGTTGGTCCCCCCGTCACCATGGGTGCTGCAAACCACCCATGATGCCCCTATACGTCGGAAATTAATAATTTAATATTAAAAATTTTGTACAACCGACTTCAATATAAATTATTAAGAATAACTCAAAAACTATTAGTTAGACCCTGATCAAATTTATATGGGACCACATGAGAAGCACCAGCTTTCAAATAAAAAACGAATCATCGAAATCGATTCACCAAGAAAATAGTTATGAGTTAACACACAATCGAAGTAGAATTGAGTACCTCCTCCTTTTTGAAGTCTGAAGAAAATAAGTAAAATAAACGCGATAAAATCCGTAAAATAGTTTAATTTAATTAATACGAGTATATTTTGTATAACATTGTTTTTACATCTTTTCGATTTTGATATGATTATTATTCTATTATAAGTAGTTTAGCAATATAATAAGGACATTACTGTAACATATGTACATAACTTATTGTTAATGAATAAAGAGATTGATGGATTGATTATCGAATCCCGGTTTTTCGAGGTATATGGTGGCTCCATTGCTATTTCAGCTTACTAATCTATTGGGCTATGGCGGTTACTCTGGTTCTACTGCGGATATCTTAATTTTTAAGTCTATCACACAGAGAAACCTGAGTATAGCCCCCTCCATGGCTCGCTGAGCAACGTTGAGTTTCCTCATACGGCCAACAGTGAAAGACCATGTCTTGGATCCATAAGTCATCATTGGCAACACACACTGGTGGTACAATATTGTTTTCAATTTTTGAGGAATACGTGACGAGAAGATGTGTTGTAATCTCCCGAACGCTACCCAGCCGAGTTGAGTCCGTCAATTGACCTCTCGGTTGAAGTTGGACTTAGCAAGTCGGACAATTTGCCTAGGTAAACATACTCGTTCCACATAAACCACTTCGAACATAGTGCTCCTAACATGTACTGTCATATGTGTGACATGCACGTTACGCATACCCTTGTTTTGTTCATGTTCATTTTAGGAGCTATCCGTTGGGAGACACTATTGAAGTTATTGAGCATAGTGCTGAGGTTCTTCAGCGATTCTGCTATAAGGTGATATAGTCGGCAAATCAAAGTTAAGTGATGTACTCGCCATTGATGTTCACATCGTATACTTTCCAGTTCTGTTGTGTGAAAACGTCTTCTAATGCAGCGGTGAAGAGTTTCGGAGATATACCATCACGCTGTCTGTACACTTCAGCAACCTTCAGCATTTCGATATACCGACGGTTACCTTGTCACCGCTTAAGGGACTATAGTACCGCCCGAGTTTCTACGGAAACATAGGATAAATTAAATTAAAAATATATCGTTATAATTAATTTTTTTTTTATAATTCTTGTGACAAAATTTAATAACAAAATTTGAGCGACTAATGGAATTAAATAATTTTTGTTTGCGCGTAATACAATTATTTGTTTATTCTTCAAGTTAGCATTTATGCTGCACGCTAAGCCGTAGGTCATTATAACAAGAAGTATGTAAGGATAAAAAAATTATATGTAACTTGAGCGATTTCGGGTTAAAAACCTTTTACTTCACACTGCAGATATTCTCCCTCGTCGCAGTGGCGTGTCTCGTTATCAAAACGGAGCTGCAGAAGCTGTCGATAACAAATGACACGTCACTGGAAGTCGTGACCTCAACGGTATTGTTCAGCATCCTTGGGATGGGAGTTATATTGAATATACTGTTGCTTGTGGCTGGATATCAGGTAACAAGGAGACTGTTCTTTAATATAACATTGTTTCCTTAATGCATCACATTTCCATTCGGTTTTATATGCAATCTATTTCAAATTCGTCTATAGTAAGTGCCGTATTGTTGCTGCGTCAGAAATATTCACAACCGCACACCATCTTGTTGGCTTCGTAAGAAGCGAAAAAGGGAAACTGAACTAGGAAATGGGCAGCAGCAGCACAACTCAATAATGATAAAATATGAAGTACTAAAATATCTAAGCACTGAAATGTCAACGACTATGATAAAGTTCCCGATGCAAAATTTCAAGTTAATATAATATAAAACAATAAATCAACATAAAACATTGATTACTATTACATATCTATACAAATAAATAAAATTGAAGTGTCTGTTTGTAATGTCAAAATTATAGCTATTTACTAATTGCATATGAAAGTATATACGGTACTTATAACTAAAATACAATTTTTAATATTTTAGTCTGTCTGTATGTCTGTTTGTTCCGGGTAATCTCCGAAACGGCTGATCCGATTTTGACGGGACTTTCACTGGCAGGTAGCTGATTTCATAAGAAGTAACTTAGGCTACTTTTATTTTAGAAAAGAATTAGGGTTCCGCACAAAAACATAAAAACCCTAACACGCGAGCGAAGTCGCGGGGAATGTTAGTAAAACTAAACGCATATGAAAGTAAATACTGTAATTTTTGTAATTTTTACATTACAAACAGACACTTCAATTTTATTTATTTGTATAGATTATTATTCAGAGGCTGGTTCAATATAACGTTGAAAAGAGATTTTACAAATTATTTTTTTATTATCTTTATACTCGCTTTATAAGTCAGTTAAATTAACTTAAAAATATAAAGATAGGCCATGGACGTTTACGTCCGTAATCTAAGCCATATTTTGTACAGAATTTTTTTTATAGAACAAGGATGACAAACGAGCACACAGTCCACTTGATGGTAAGTGGATGCTGAGGCCCATAGACATCTACATCTATCCTCGTTTATGAATCAAAATTCAGATGCATTGTCATCCTTGAGGACTAAGGTGGAATGCCTCGTTACCAGTAAGAAGAGTCTGCGGTTCTCTACACTCACCATAAGAATCATAGCAGTATTAAAACTCTATTTTACGATGTTATTTTGTAAGAGCGTGGTCCTTCCCGGTCGAGCCAACCCATTCGTGCTACAAGTATATAGCTGCAGCATAGTTATACCACGTGTAAGAAACCCAATTAATCTCCAAAATGATATCATGCGTTCATTAATTCCAGAAAGATATATTGATGCTACGTCTGTACAATTATTACGCAACGGCTACTACCCTGGCGGCTCTCGTGCCCATCTTTTTGTTGCTGTCTCTTGGATTGCTCTTCGAGGTCTTCACAGCGTTGTTTGCTCTACGTAAGTTACGTTAAACACCGTTTGCTTCGGTTTATGTTTGTATCTAAAACATTTCGGAGGAAACGGAAAAGCGTGTTCCTCTATACGTAATAAGACTGAGTTTAAAGTGGTTTTTCGATAGTTGAACTACTTACAAAGATCACTATTATAGTTCTGCAAGTTTCTTATTTAAGTTCAACGCGGATGAACAAGCTGGTGTTATTTAAAAAAAAGTGACAAAATATCTTGGTCTACCTGATGGTAAGTGCCTAGCCAATAGACACCTGCTACCAAATTGAAACAAAGACAGCTACAGATGCATTGTCACCTCCGAGGATCAAGAGGGAATGCCTCACAGCTTATAATGAAACTGGTTTTTTAGTCCTTAGAGATGACACACATGTAGCCTTCATTGTTTGAAGTCCTGAATGGTTATTTCGAAATCACTTTCATTTTGTAAATAAAATCCAAATGTGATCAGAATAATATCAGTAAAGTAACGTATACTAAGTTATTTTCTGAATAAGTAAAAAAAAGTATTACATCGCGTCAGTGATAAGGGTTTAAAAATAGTAAAAGCAAAAAATCATTGATATAGGAATAAATAAATAATTGAAATATAGTGTAATCAGTGACGAAGATAGAACGGTATTACCAGAGTAAATGAGTAACGTAAATAGCCTTAAAATATAAGCAAGCTATGCTTTGAATAAAACTACTTTTACGGATTCTATCGCGTTTAATTAAGTTATTTTATATTCCCGACATTTCGGTTGCTTTCCAGCAACCGTGGTCACGGGGGACTGAGGTGATTAATGCCCCGATGTCAAAGTTAACTCGGAGTACCTTCAGCTTTTTAATTATTAATTTTGGTCCGATCTACGCAGAATAAACTAACTGGGTCTTGAAGTCTTGCAGTGGTATGCTTGGGTTTAGTTTTAATTTTATGAATTACAGGATCCCAAGCAGGTGGTAGTACCCAGCCTCCCTCTATGCTTATATACATATATGCTTATATACATAAGCATAGCTTGCTTATATTTTAAGTATACACTCTAAGTAAATAGTCAAATGAAAAAAGAGTCGGTCATCTGACTCAAACGGCACATTTGCACTGGTAAGCGGAGTGTACAGGACGGTCTACAACACTGGTTGGAATTACAATTACTGTGGAATTTCACAGTAGACGAGTAACACGGATTAAATCTCCGCTGGCACCAATGAAATTGTTAATTGAAATTTTATGGGCTGATTTAATATGCGCTGGGTATTTAAGAAAAAGATTGCAAGGAGAACCGAGATATCTGAGAAATAAATTATTGTATATGAAGTCCGCTAGCACGCAGTGTAGCAGCTCGGTGGAAAAAGTAGTCTATAAACCTAGCATATCTGTGTCTAGGAGTGGGGCGAATATAGACTGTAACCTTATATATAATTATGCATAATAACAACGAACTGACGTCCTGGTAAGATATGAAGTATATCGATGGATGGAGATAGCATAGGACCGTGTTGATGATGATCATGTTGACGATGCATAACAAACCACTTACAAGTTGAGCTCTTATGTTATCAAAAACGGAGCTGTAGTATTTTAACGCACTTAGCGGACATTCTTTTTCGTTATACAGTGATGCAGTGCTACGTAATCGTTCTGGTGAGGAGCGAAGTGGTAAAGCTTGAAAACGATGAGATGATGTCCAATGAAGATATGTATGGCGAGAACCTACCAACCATTGTCGTGCCCGATGACGTAACTTTGCTTTGAATACGATCTTTCTTTTGGTACTTCTCTCTGGTTGATTTTGAAATAAATGTATTTTTTTTTTAATTTTACTCATACCTTACTTATTACTTATATTATACATATTACGAGTATCAATCATCTGATTGAATATAACGATGTGAACGAATATTTTAAATTTTTTTTGCTTTCCAATTTTGTTCTGTATCGCGAAACAAAATCAGATAGATTATTTGCAGGCCATACAAATACTTCATCTGTGCGGGGTTCAAACCCGCGGCTCCGTAGTGAAGCGCCCAAATGTTTAGCAATGGCGTTATTGAGACGTGCGTATTTTAAATAGTATTATAAGATAAAATATAATAATTAAAAATTAAAAATTTTGTACAACCGATTTCAGTATAAATTATTAAGAATAACTCAAAAACCATTGGTCAGACCTTGATCATATATGGGACCACACGTGAAGCACCAGCTTTCAAATAACGAAAAAATCATCGAAATCGGTTCACCCAGTAAGAAGTTATGAGGTATCACACATAAAAAAACACAGTCGAATTGAGTACCGGCTCATTTTTGAAGTCACTAGAAAACAGGTACGCTTTTCTATTTAAAGATTATAATAATAATGTCCTCCAGACCGAATTTCGGTCACGGTGGCCAGTCCTAAACGAAGACTAGTCATCTGTGCAGAATAGAATTATAGTGCCCAAGTGTATGCGCAAGTGTAGGTGCACTTTCTATTCCCTCACTCTTATAGTCCGATGGGACGGTAATTCAACGCGACCGGAGAGAGATCAGGCACGGGATCAACGGCTTAACGTGCTTTCCGCGGTGAATAAAACAACGCCAAATACCTGACTCCAGGCTGCCGCAGAATTTTTTGACAGAAACACCCAATAACTGATTATGACTCGATCCGGGATTCGAACTCGCGACCTCATGATCAGCAATCGCGTTTACGACCGCTAAACCTACGAGGCAGTAAAGATTAAGTGTAAGTCGTATCTATTCTGCTAACATTATTTTTATTTTACAAAAACTTGTCAAATATAGGCAAGATCTAGCTTCTGTTACTCCTCAGTCCTCACTCCCAGGTTAACCTTTTACAGGAGTCAGGGTCACATTGATATATGTATAAATTGTAGTGATTGTTGCAATAAACAATATTTAATTTTTTGTTCATTACATAATAATTTTTTTTTATAGGATAGGGTGACAAACGAGCACACAGTCCACCTGATGGTAAGTGGTTGCTGTGGCCCATAGACATCTACATCTATCCTCGTTTGCGAATCAAAATGTAGATGCGTTGTCACCCGTGAGGACTAAGATGGAATGCCTCTTTTCCAGTAAAAAGGGTCTCCGGTTCTCTACACTCACCATACGAAACACAGCAGTGTTAAGCTGCTATTTGACGCTGGTATTCTGTGAGAGCGTGGTCCTTACCACGTAATTATACAGGCTGAGAGACATTGATTTTTAGTCCAGTAAGATCGGACTCCCTCTCAACAGTGGAGGTCATCCAAACCCGTACACTTTTCAACTCACGTTTCCCGGCGAACACATGTTCACGTACTACACGAGTTTTAAAAAATAAATAAAACTGAAGTTACAAACGAACTTACAGTTCACATGACCGTTACTGGCTACTGCAGTTTATGGCACCTGCAAACAATTTTAAACAAACATGCCGAAACACACCGATCCATTCGTGCAACAACTATACTACTAACATAGCTGCAGCATTGCTCTACCACGTATAAATGTGTGGTGACAACAGATCTAGTCTCCTTTGTTTAAAGTTGGTTGCAAGTGTTCATTTACGCTGCTGCAGCTCAACTGTTAGTTTGTTTTTCATTTTAACATGATAAGTAAAAATATATTGAATATTATTTCAACGTAATTTTTCGACATCATTTTAAAAACTACATGTGTATTGATCGAGTTTCGAAATTTAATTTGGCTGTTTTTGGCTATGCTATGCATGCATATTGTAATTTATAAATTATTAACGCATGTTTCAAGTTTAAACGTTTCTTTTCCCCGTTCACGATTTGTGGCGAGAGTGTGGAATTATTGAAAAAATTAAAATATTTCCCAATTTGGTGCACGAGCACAGGTGGGCGCCTGCGGACAAGAGTCGTGACTTACTTTTCGGGACCATTGTCGAGGATAATATTCATTGAAATAATATGCAATATGACTTAAACGGCACTGACGTGCATTGTGCTCTAAATTGCCAATTAGGTGCACAATCAGACAAAGTTGTAACGTAGAATTTAGTAAAACGAGATGATACACCAGCCCTTGAAGAGAGGCTTATACAGCCTTATAAAGAGAGGTGTTTATGTTTTGCATGAGGTTTTGCTCACATGAAATTCTAAAATGTTTCTTAATAAATTATTTGAAAGACTGGTGCTTAAGATATTCATTTGTTTTGAGTAAAATTATAGCCTTGTACCAAAACTTCAACCAATGGCAATTTTAATTTTAAGTAGATGACGATAAGTATATAGTACATGGAGACATAAGACATCGGTAGGTATTCTTATAAGAACTTATTACTCTTAAATAATCGATCCCCAAGCCGCGCAGAAAGTTCTATGAATAAAGTTATTTTTTGTATGAAACTGAACATTTTGAAAATACGATTGTTAACAAATTAAAAGATACGAATGTTTCAATTTCATATTTCCTTCTACAGTTTTGAGTAAAATTAAATAACGTGATTCATTGAAAAATGGATAATGTATCTGAAATATTTTGAGCGACGATATTTTACGATTTCAGATATTCGCTAAAACCGGACTTGAAACAACAACCTCACCGATGACTGCATGGCTTCCATCTGAGTCCCGCGTGGAATAGGGCCGTGATATGATTAGCTCTTGCTGTTTTTAGATTTTGCATTCGAGATGAGCCTGCTTCATGTTTGCAAGTTACAAATCTTTGAGTTATCAATATGAACAAGAAACGGTGCGCCAGTCGATGGTTTAGATTTAGATGTTTCAAAATTAACCAACGCCTACCAAAGCGAAGCGATCGTTCTCGATATCTTTTTAAGAGATTTTGATCGCTAGTTTTCACTTTCTTTCACTTTATATTCTATCTGGGCGCAAAATTTTCTGAGTGACTCACGTATAGGTTAAGAAACTAAAATAAGATGGGCGATTAAGGATTATCTGATATCGTTCCGTGGGTATTCTAAGAGGCGAAAATAGGCAGTAGTATCTTTCTGATAACAGTTAAAATTTAAGACTGCGGGTGCCAAACCACCTGCCAAGCGCGGCAACTATTGCAATGTATAGGGGAAGCTTATGTTTAGCAGTGGACTTTTATAAGTTTTAATGGAATGGATAAAATAATAGGGACGCCATAAAAGAATTGTGACTGTGAGCAAACGGGGAATTCAATAATATGCTTCTAGCAAGATATGATTAAGAAATATTTTTATTTTTAAGACATACTGTTTTCCTTACTATGTCTTTCTTCTTCGCTGTAGACAAGAGTGTAGACGAATGAACAGTTGTAACAAGGCTTGCTAACAATATTGCAATGTGGTGAGTGGAAGGAAAAGGGGAGATCTCCCGCTGGACAAGGTGTTCTGCCCGGGGAGCGGCCAACGCTCCGAGTGGTAGTTCCGAGCTATTCTATATATACAGCTTTAACTTCGGAACTTTGTTAGCGCGATTTAGGCTTCGATGTGTTTCGCTCGTGGCGCGACGACAGCGTCGCCACTTCACCCCCCTGTTCAGACCGGAGGTCGATAGTGCAGTCCGATTGCCGGTGCGTCCTTAATGCCGGTGGGGAATGCATGCTGTGTGCGTAAGGGCAAGTGACGCCGGCGCGAACGATGTGCCGGTGTGTAATGCATGCCGTACTACGCATTTGCAAGTGATGCCGGTGAGAACGATGAGTCGGAGCAAGTGCCACGGATTGCCTTGTAGTCTGCGGTTAGTCGAGAAGAAGGCAAGTAATCTGCGAGAGTGCCGTGAAGCAGAGGCGAGCAGTAAGGCTCAGTACCGTGCTGAACACTGTAGCGCAGGCAGTTGCTTGAAGGAACAGGAAGCATTATTATTCCAGTGCTGCAATGTACCTTTGTAAAGCTAGATGGCTTGCAGAATGTGAAGACTGCAGACAATATCTGCTCGGGAGCGAATGAATGGGGTACTTGAGGATGATGACGAAGGTTTTGAAGTTGTAGTTTCCGATGAGAACGATCACGTCGGGGTCACCACTGTGGCCGGTAGAAGGAAAAGGCGAGATCTCCCGCCGGGCAACGTGTTCTGCCCCGGGAGCGGCCAACGCTCCGAGTGGTAGTTCAAAGCTATTCTGTATATACAGCTTTAACTTCGGAACTTTGTTAGCGCGATTTAGGCTTCGATGTATTTCGCTCATGGCGCGACGACAGCGCCGCCTCAGCAATATTCCGCTCACGGCATTCCAGTTAATTTAATTTGAAATAATTTTTATTGCTTGACATTTTAAATTTTTTGCAAATCAGTTACAAGTGTTATTATTATTGTGATTTAAATATCGAATCATGGATTTTGATGGACTGGCTTATTTAATTATTATGTGATAATGCTTTTTTAAATAGCTTACGTTTTCGTTATGTCAAAGATTCCAATGTTCTCTTTATGGTAAGTAGATATTGCAGCCCATGGATACTAGCAACCAATTGAAAACAACTTTACTGACTCTATTATCTTAACTAGAACACAGCGGCGGGTACGTAGCAGATTTTTAGCAAAATAAGAATGAGAGTGATAACAGTTCAGATGGGTTAAAGTGACAAAAATAATTCTATCAAATAGAAAGACTTATGATTTTATTATTATGTGTATTATTATGAATTAAAAAAGTTATGATTTATTTCTCATTTTAAATTATAAATTCGAAATCAAATAGCCGGCCAAATGCGATCATCAACATTATCATTTCACACACTATTAAAGTCCACTGTTAAACATATTTCTCATGAATTGCCTCATAAAGGGGATATTTTCCATGGTTGCCAC